TACTGATTGCTAGTCCATCGCTGTAACCGTTCGGTAACGCTGCTCCTAGGAAAGCAAAAACAGACGGGGAGAACCAATCACACGTGCAGTATGCGAAGGAGAAACGCGTGCGAATTGGCCACGACTGGTACAGCTTCTGACTGGTTGATAATAGGGCACGAAGTTTTTTAGCCAATCAGAAAGCGTGGCTATGCAAGCAAAGCAAACGACAGTTCCATTCAGCGGAAAACGGTTGCGAAAGCCTGAAAGTGGACTCAAAGTTGACTTTGAAGAAATGAAAACCTTTTTTAAATGGTAAACAACTGTTGTTTAGTGCCTGTACTATTCTAACCTGACATTTAGCTAAAGCTGTGCTATTCTGACACTGATTTTCTTTGTAGGTGTGCTGTACAACCAATTTTTATCGCAAGCTGATTTTGAAACCCTGCGGAAGTATGCCGAGGTAACGCTCCTTGTTGTTGTAACCACCTGTCCTCACAGGTTACCCAATATACATGCCCAGCTCTCGGTAGTAATCCTTTCCATTGTCGTTTAGGTCCTTTGTGTATTCTTTCGCTTACCACAGGATAACCAACTATAGGATAATTTCACAGGATAATCTCACTTGCTGGCTTTTATTTTTTATTTAGGTCAGTGTAAAATTTCTTCGTCAGAATCAAACTCGCAAGCACTTATATACTTTTGTATTTTCATTTCATTTGTTAGGATCTTGGTGTCCTTATGTGGGCCAACTCATCAAAAAGAGTTATTGTGGTCAGTCGCTCTGGTCATGATGATGTTAAACGGTTCTGGAAAAGACAAAAGCAAAACGCATGACATCCCCATGGCTAACAAATAGCTCATGTCAAGGAGTCATGCTATGATGTCTCGTGACCTATCACGTGACGTAACGTGTCACCCATGCGCAAAAGGAAAGTTTTGCGATGTCAAAAATGGACTTCATCCCATGCATCGCTGGAGGTATTGATTGAAAATACTGTTTTTTCCGGGTCAGCATGATGACTGGTGAATGTCACGTGATGTTAATTATCACACACGCGCAAAGGAGAAAGTTTACGCAGACAAAAATGGAACTCGACACGTGAAAAAGTAACGAACGTGCTGGTTCTTGCATTTTGTGGCTTTTTGTTATGATAATGAAACAGTTCTGATACACTGAGACTTGGCTAAAAGAGATGAACATCGTGTTGATTAGAAATTTCCAGTTAAGTAATGCGGGTTAAAGAGAACCTCGACAACGTAGACGATGGCCGTAAAAGCGTCTCTAACAAGGCTTTTCAAACATTTCCACCTAAAAATTATATTTTAAAACAATAAGACAAAGACTTTCTTTCGAACTCTACTATTATTGAAGGATCGCAGTACCACACTGCCACCGAATTTTTGACAATATTCCAGTGGAGCCCGCTCCGATCGTTCGTTGTATGTCGAAATTAGTGTACCCAAACAAAGATCAGAACTGGTATTTAATCACTTGAAATCAGTTTTGCTAAAATAATATTTGGGTAATCCATAATTAGCGTGTAAGCACGTACACGTGAATAAAAAAACACACACAACCTCTGATTTTGCGTTTTTCAATCTTTCAAATGCGTACGTAGCCCTGTATTCCTTTGAGTCGAGTTGCCTTATGCAGTCGTCTTTTGTGACTCATTTTGGGAAAACTTGTTTTCTTTTCTTTTTTTTCTGATATTTGAATCTAAGAATGGATTGAAAGTGGATTAAAGGTTAAAACGTTCTCAAAGATTACAATGCCATGTTTTCTGTCGTTTTTGGGAGTCTTGAGGAAGTTTGGCGTAAGAAGGAATATGTGAAAGCACTTTGATGCATATTTACTATGCCGTGTTTTACAGTGTGAATCAAAATGCATCATGACCAGCTTTCTTATTTATACCGCCTATTTGATGAAATTCCTTACATTGATGTCGCACCATTAGGTACTTCAAAGAATTGACGTCAATAATCATCGTTGTTACAGGATAAGTAGATCGCGAAAAAAAAGGATTTAACTTGCCATCCCTAATTGATGTGGCTCATTCTTGAGGCCGTCTCGGGTCGTAGTCAAGTCTTAAGATCCTTGTTAAGTCAGGCCTTCCGTGACAATTAAAAGTGGAGACGAAATACTCTTAACTCCTTGAAATCTGCTAAGGGAGGAGCCGGGCCTTCAAAGCCGATATGTGCATATTTGTGCTAAGAAATTAGTCAGAAAAGCAAAGTCTCTTTTCCCGTTAGTGTCAGCAGAGAACTCCTATGGTTTCTAAAAGAGAAAAATATTATCATTTCAATTGCGTATGTTATTGTTTACGATTTTGCTGAGTGGTTCCAGATTTCTTGGTGGTACTTGCCTCTGTTACTGATCGCAAATTTGGATATTTGCCAATTCTTCTGTAGGTATATTCGGTGTATATACCCTGCATATATATTGTGACCCAAGAAAAAACAATAATTTTATAGTTCTCCCCTTGAAAATCGTTGAAGCGAATGAAAGAAATGCCTGCACGTCTTAAAAACGAAACTATCCGAGCGTCGCGTTTGATGAAATCTTCTTGTGCCACTTGATGTGGATTATCTTTTGTACCTGAAATAACCTGTTATTTTCAGTATACGGTATAAGGCGCTTGTTCCAGTTTTGATTATGTTAAAAGCATGTTTAAGGGAATTTGGGAGAATTTTGACTGTTTCTGGCTACTTTGCTTTGTCGATGTTCTTGTTTTAAACACGCGCACGTTCCGGCTTTAAGCTCTCTTTCTTTGGTAAAGGAGCTAATTTTGGTGAATTCTCCAGAAACCTTGTGGGACTCATTCTTAGCTCCTCTAGCTTTGACATTGAAAGCAAAAATATGCTTTCGCTGTGCGCCCCCATGGGTTTAGACTTGAACACGTTGCGTGATCCTTGTCAATAGAGCATAACCTCCCACAAAGGCGGCCGATTAGTTCGTTTTGTGGGCTATTTTCGTGATCGTATTCACTCTAACAAATTGCTTTTCACATTAAATGAACCTTTTGAGTGCCGCAAAGGTATTATTAGAATAGTGTCGGCTTGATGTCTAACCGCAAATTTAATGTATCGCTTGTTTTTATTCCTCGCAAGCTGGTTTCCTGATATTTCATCTTTGCGGAGGGGAAATGTCCATATTTTTAGCTGTTTGTATAATAGTCGGTGATCAGCTGTCTAATACAAGGGCTTCCAAGCCCATTCACACCCGACAATGAGTATAAAACAACTGCACAATTAAGAAGCGAAAAGGTTGAACAAGCGTTACGATAAAAGAATCAAAACAAATAATTGTTATCTTTTAAAACAAACTTGATGTTTTGAAATAGTTCTCTTTGAGAGCAATGAACAGGAATTCGTTACAGGTGTTTCAAACGTTCATCTTTTCATATGTACGCTTGCCTCAGGCTTTTCTCGTTTCTTGCACGTGTTGCGGAAAACAGTTCAATAAAAGAACAAAAAGCGGCTCTTTCATTTATAATCCTTCGCGTAGTAACGAAGACCATGCCCTCTTTTTTCCTTGTTCTCCAAACACGTCCGTTTCGGCCGACCGAGTTGCCTTGACTTTTCACAATTTGTAGTATGTTCTTGTTAAAATCTTTCTAGGAGCTTCCTTTGAAAATATGAATTGAATATTAAACAAGTTTCCCTCTTCGTATTCAATGGTATGCAATCATAGTTTGCTTTCTCTAATATTGTCATGCTCTTAAATGAACAAGTTTTGAGGGAAAACATTGTGTCGTCATAGTTTGTTCAAATGAAATATCTTCAAATCCTGTCAGCGCAATTTTTCCCATTTTTAATAACTATTTGATTGTTTTTCTGTTGACATAGCCACATTTCGGTTTTGTGATTACAAGATGAAAAGAGGAAGTGTCATAGACACGTACGGACCTGACCAACGAAAATGTCGTTATTTAGCGTAGAAAAACTGATGTGATAGAGGCCAAGAACCACTTGACACGCTAGACGGACCTATCTCATGACGGATAATCACAATTTCACGACTTTTCTCAGTGTTTTCTCTCTCGAACTCTACAAAAATAATACGTGACACTTCTCAAACTTGGAAAACTTCTTTCAATCTCGCATTACAAAGAAAACCACAAGTATTGTTTGCTTTTTATGGAGCAATTATTTAAATTAGCCACTAATCAAGCTTGCCCATTGTGCACACTTGACAACATTCAAAAGACTCGGCCTCGGTTGCGCGTGGACAGTGTTGTAAATTTTTTCGTTGCGTAAAGATGTCCACGGACACAGCAATGGACTCGAGGCAAGTTGGTAGACATGTATTTCTTTTTTCCAAGCAAAACGGGCATGAAGGTTCCCCTACTATTATTGCTAAGCCCGTAGATATAACACAGGATTTACCCAGGGAATTTCTTCGCTATTTAAAAACGTTGTTCGATATTCTCGACGAAAAAGGTTCTGGTTTCGTAAGATTAGCTGACATTGAATCGCGCTGGAAAACAAACCAAGGATCAACTGCTCTTAATGAGGGAGTTATTGAAAGCTTACGGAAAGTAACACCAAAAAATGGACTGCTTAGTTTTGAGAGGCTTTGTACGGGTATGAAACTCGCCCTCAAAACTCAACCACGAACTCAAAATGGAACCACGGTAACGGTGAATGGGTTTTCTGGTCACGGTCAAACGACCAAACGTTCGAGCTCTGTTCCTCAGCTGGACACTGCGAAAGACTGGACATCCGATTCAAGCGAAGACTCTTTCGCTAGCGGTGAAAAGAGAGAAAAAGTGAAAATAATTAAACAATTGAGAGACTGGAAGGAAGAAAAACAAGAAAAACGTCGCTCTCTTAACTTTACTCCAACCAACAACATCGGCGGAAACGACAGCTCCGGAAGTAGCAGTGAGTGTCTTTTATTCTTATCTTTCACGGGATAAATTTTAATTGATGGTTTGCTTGGCTACTAAATTACCCTATGCATTTTAGCTTGTGGTCAGGTTCATTCTCTGCAAACTAAAATAGTTGTTTTGAATAGTTATACCACGGTTTATTTCATAAACGAACTCGCGTTAATTGAAATTGGAAGGTGTTATTCAGTAAACAGAACACGGATTATAAAGCAGCAGGCAATATGTCGACATGTAATACTCGTTTACAGTGCGAAGTCAAAGAAGCACAAACATAATTTCAATTAACTCGATTCTTGTTTTTAAGTCAATAATTAGGCTTGATGAAATTTACTCGTTTCTTCGGTTTGATCACTTAAATTTACTTGAAATATTAAATTCAGTGACATCTTTTAAAACATTTGCAGCACCTTCGAGAAAAATCAGCAAATTTTAGTGTTTTTCCTCTAAGCTTTGTCTAATCGTTCTAAGGAGGATTTGTTATTTATCCGAAAGAAAGATTAAGGCTAAGGAATTTAAAAGAAATTCTAAACCTTGATCGATCGTTCAAGTTATTTGTAACTGTTAGATTAAACAGCGCAACAGGGATTATAAATTCCAGGTGGTTGGTAATGAAGCTTAACATGTTATTTATATCTCAGACTTTGTGTCATTCGTGTTTACATTTCCACTGTACATTAATAAAGCTAGAAGACATTTGTTTAGTTTTTTATGACCTGCAACACCCGTGTTTTTTTTCCGCTAAAAATAATAATATTAAATCTAGTTTCTTCCACAGTCAACTGCACCCAGTACGACGGATGCATACAGCTAGTTCACCCATGAAAACTGTTGATGTTACAAAATAATCACATTTTTTTTATTTCGTTTTGTTTTTCCTTTCCTTTTTTCTTTTTTTCCTAATATAAGCAAGCTATGAGGAAGAGAACTGGCTCCTATTTTGGAATGTCCATAAGAGAGTTTCAACAACACTTTCAAATTCTCCTTTACTTTATTTGTTTCACTTTTTACTTCTGCGTTTGCACTTTCTAGAGTGCCCACAATAGGTTCAGGATTTGCCTTATTTCAAAGGTCAGGGTACGAGACTGGACGGGAGGGGAGGGGCTACTTTTTCCCAGGGAGCGAGGTTGGGGGGGGAAGATTTAGGAATGACAGCATGCACAGGATGCGTAATGCCGAGATAACCATCAGGATTATGAGATTGAGGGGAACTTGAGGGGTGGGTTTGAAGGGAGTAGAGAACCCTATAGTGGATCCTGGATATAGGGTTTTAAAACATACTGCTACTTTAAACACCACTTCCGATCACCGGTACTAGTATTTGATGGAGTGTATATTTATACACTGTTTGTATTGATACTGATATCATTGTAAGGTCCTTCATCAACAAGTCCAGTTAGAAGGAGTAACTCAACTACGAAAGTCTACTTTGTGGGTAAAGAAGAAAGTCCAATAGCACAGACAAATGGCCATGTCAGACCTCCCGGCATTCCGGAGGCTTCTAAGGTAAACAAGGCAAAATTAATGCGTCTAATTTTATCCATTTTATTGTAAGGTTTATATTAGCATCAAACCGGATTGCTAATCATATATTGAATATCAAATTATTTGAACATGCAAATATATAATTTATTGAAAGTGAAGAATGATCGTCCCAGTAAATTTTCCAATTTAAGCAATTGGAAAGAAGAAGCCTGAAAAAAAATCAGGGCTCTTTTCAGGCTTCTTCTTTCCAATTGCTTAAATTGGAAAATTTACTAAGATGATCATTCTTCACTTTCATCTACAACCGCAGTTCAAAAATGAATTATTTCTTATACTTCACATTATATAATTTATTGTTGACATCCAAATTCAGTGTTAACAATTTGTCACGTTAGATTTTTTATATGTCGTAGGCTGTTTTACAACTGGATTATCAAAATAAATAGAATAATTATTGCTGATGGATGCAAACGTGCACATACAAAAACAAACAAAATATTTACATGTATATCTAAAAAAAGATTACCCTGAATTCATACATGTGTAGAAATAGCATTGGCAATATTTTGTTTGCAATTTAAGAAAATATTTATATCAACAGAAAGATTATATTGAATTCATACAACTTGCTTTGGCAATATTTTGTTTACAATTTAAGAAAATATTTATATCAAAAGAAAGATTATATTGAATTCATACAACTTACTTTGGCAATATTTTGTTTACAATTTAAGATTCAAAGTATTGATAAAAATCAGTGCTCCTTCAGTATTAGCCTGTATTGATATTTATATTTTATACCAAAAAAGTGATGATACCAATATATTTACACTGTAAACCAATAGTCAAAGCTTTGAAAAAGGCAGTGCTAAAAATGTTTGGGTCTAGTGTAATATACATTTCATTATTCGTGGGTTTTGGTTTTTTTTTGTGTGCTTGTGAATAATATTGTTAATAAATTATTTGTAGTTATGAATGCCTACAATGTATTAAGCCTATAAGACAGTTGGAATGGCAGCATATGGAGTCTAAAACAATGGCAAAGATGGGAGTTTAAACTGTGACAGGGTAGAAGGCCAGCTCAAATACAAAAAAATAAACTAAAACACTGACCAGGAGATAGTATGGCTTCCTCCTAGTTTGAAATGACGGGTTTTGAAATTCAGATTACAAGGGACATGCCATAACCCCCTCTCCTTCCTGCTTTTGTCATTTCAGCACTCGTTAGCTTCATGGAAGCAATCTCTTTTTGTAGCCTACGTGTCAATATATTATTTTGGACAGTCAAAAGTCCAGACATTTGTCTAGATAAACATATTGGATGAACAGTTCCTTTTTCTGACTAAAATTTTCAAAGCAGTAAGCTAGTATAAGACAGTATTTGTAGTCAAGACCACAAAAAATTTAATTTCCGGAAATAATGTGAGGTTTGCAATATTAGTTTTTAAGATTGTTGGAAATCATGTGCGTGTAATGAAAATAAATCCATTTTTCATGAAGTATGCCATTTTCACGCGTATTCCTCTGAAAAGATCCTAAATGCTTTACAACAATTTACTTCTCAACCCTCTTTTCAAGAATGAAGATAAAAATGAGAAAGCCACAAAGTAATAATTATTTGAATTTCCAATTTGTCTATTCATTATTATTTATATTGCAATTTGTTTGTCTTTTTTATTGCAGGAGGCACGGTTGAAGGAGTTGGATGAAGAGCATGACCTTTTACAAAGCGGCCTTCAGGTCATTGAAAAAGCAAGAAAATGGTATTTTAAAAGGATTACTGCTATTCAAGAAGAAAAGTTGCATCTTCAAAATCAAGACCAGTATTCATTAGAACAGGTATAAAAGGCCTTCAAACGTACGTGTAGTTGTCTAGTTGAACTAGTTACAGTTATGCAAATATTTTTCACACTCTGTCCGAATGTCTGCTTGAATCTGTGGTGCTTTCAGTACCAGTAGAACTTTAGGGCACTTTCCATTTGTCAGAACTGACTGGCCAGACCATTCCCATCGTAATGAGAATTTCACTTTTAATCAAACTATCCAGCTAGTAGATCAGTCAAATCCTTAATAGTTATATGCACGAAGGAGATAGTTTTTTTATTTGCTAATGGACTGGTCTGGCAATGTTCCAGTCGGCCAGTTCTGCAGACAAATGGAAAGTGCTCTTAGATTATACCTAACTTACCATTAATTCCCATCTCTTTTATTAGGAATTAATGCAGTTTGTCTTCTCTTAGTTTCAGTATGAGCTTTTGCTTCACAAAACAAGAAGGAAAGAACTTGGACTGGATAAGGCAACGTTCAAAGAACACAAACACCACATACAAGACATTAATGAGAGCCTTGAAAAAATTATAGATGGAAAATTGCCAGCAAAGGTTCATTAATTATTTACTTTACACTTTTTGTAGATTTTAAATCTTAAATTTGGGAAATATATCATGGAGGCTGGATTATCAAAAGAGAGTTTGGGTGAGGAGGTTCACAGTTACAGTGATGGATGTCCGTGAATATGAAACCATGTTGTTGCTGTAGTGGTCACATTTATATGGATGGTTTTTTCTTTCAAAAAAGATAGAGTGCATGTACAGCTGTAAATGGGTGTCTCTTGACTGAAGTAAGGTGCAAAAGGGTGGAGTTTCATACCTCTTCCCCAGAACCCTTATTACACTGTAGTGGACTTCAAATTATTATGGCAGCAAGCTGTTTTGTACATTTTTTTATTATTAATTATTTACAATTTGTTTTACAAGCCAAGTTTGGCATGCCCAAAGTGTTACAAGATGGTTCTATATTTTGGAGACGTCAACCATGATTGAGATGCAGGAGACATCCTCAAGATTTTCTGTGTTCAGAAATAAACCAATGTCTTCTCCGTTTGAGTGACAAAACTCACTGAGAGAGTTCTATATTTTGGAAAAGTCGACCACAAATGCATTTCAGGAGGCATTCTCAAGATTCTTTATGCTCATAAATAGATACATCTCTTTTCCTTTCTAGGTACCCTCAAATGCAACTTCAGAGGCTGATGAAGAAAGAAGGCGGCTCCAAGATGAAGTGGAACGTCTAAGAAAGGTATTCATGATTGGTTTTGAATTTAGGAGAGCAGAAGAGAAATTAGGGGGGGCCGGGGTGAGCAATGGATGGAAGAAAAACGAAGTGGACAGAAAATGAAATACCTATCAGCAGTTAAACAAATGCCCACCCCATGTTTAAACAAAACCTTATTCTTTTTGGCAGTTACTCAAAATATTATTTTTTTAAGGGAGTTAACTGTGATACCAAATATTATTTCTTTAACAAGATGCCCTGGGTTAACACATGTCGTGAAAACCTTTGAATTCCAGAGTCTGATTTCAAGGCCTTGAAAGTACTTGAAATTGGTTTTTAATCCTTGAAGTCTTGATTTTTCTAATGAAGAACCTTTAAGCTATCAACACGGTAAAATGTTGCAAAGGAGTCAGAAATAAATGCTTGCAAAATTATGCAAGGCATGTCTTTAACTGTTCCCAGTGCTCGCTTGTTGCTCTTGTGCAAAACTACACTGATCCAAAAGTGCACTTTGTGTGTCCATGGTCTGCAAGTGTTTTCATAATTCAAGATCTCATTTTCTAGCATTTCTGCATGAGCTCTCAAAAAAGATCCTGACAATTTCAAAGCAGGGTGTTTGAAAAGTTCTTAAAGGCCTGAAAAAGAGTAGAACCCTGTGCATCTACTTTTGCAGGCTACCTGTACAATGTATATTGTCTTTTTCCTGTCAGAGGTTCCTCTGTCACTGAAATTTGTGAGACTACGTCATAAAATCCTCAGCAATACCTAACTATGACTCATTTTTATTGTTTTCAGGAGGTTGCTGACAAGGGCAGCAAAATCACTCAGCTGGAAACTGAGAAATCTGCTCTCATTCGTGACTTGTTCAACAACAAGGCTGCAGGGAAAAATGGCTTCGGTCCAAAGAAAGGAAATAAAATCTTCTAATGTTTTGGGTGAGACCCTGCAAGACACCACAGATACCTTTACTGGTTCTGTGAGGAAATTTATCTATTTTTTATCTATTTTGGAAATGTAACTACAGTCCGCCATGAGGCTTCACCACGTTATTGTAATATGTCTTTACACCAAGATTTCAATCTAGCTTGTGAAGGCAGCCAGTATTTTGCAACGCCACCACTTGTTTCCCCGGGAAATGACATCTCAGGAACGAGCACAGACATTCCATACCGATGACATGTCACTGCCCTGATCTGGGTTGCTAGTGCTTCTCATTGGTCGTGCTACAAGGGAAATTTACTTCAACTAATCAGAAGCGAGTGCGTGGGTCTGGATAGTGACATGTCTTTAGTGTAGAATTTCTGTGCTTGTTCCTTGGACATCATTTCGCAGGGAAACCAGTGACAACATTGCAAAATGTAGGTTGTTTTTTAAGGTTAATTTCTGTCAGGTAGCATCTGGTTATTCTTGCATGTCCAGTTTTTGGTGGACAAAATACATGTATATATTTTTGACATGGTTTCAGAACTGCTGGCACAGGAGTTGAGGTGGATGTCACCTATAAATTCATGGCTAAAACTCTGCTTGACACTGATTAAATGTTAGACTGTTGCATTATGGTGTCTGTAAAATCGGTAGTTGAACATTGCTAACCGAGAGAAATGTTAACTCGATTTGGCAACTTTGTGTAATGTGCAGGGAGCATTGTACACTATTGCGACTTTGAATGTGTAAACTTAAACTATGGAGTCAAAACTCCATGTGGACTGCATCGAACAGTTGGCCATGTGCTCCACACAAATTACATGTTTGGCCAGCAAACTAGCTACAGTGGAAACTCTTGTATGTGGACGCCCTCAAGGTGTGAAAAAAGTGTCCACTACTGGAGCTGGCCGCTTACGAGAGTGTAAAAATACATTGGTTGTATGGGAGTGGGGATAAATGCGTGGGGGGGGGATGATGGCAGCTATAAGTAGAGCTGTCTGCTTATACAAGAGTGTCTGTTAGGGGATCTTCCACTGTATAGTATGTAACTGTTAAAGGCCAAGGTAGACTGGGAATGCACCAGTCTTTGGGGGCTCACATTAAGTAAACTTAACTGATTATATAACAAGCTTGACTAGACATTTAACAAATTATTATTCCTCGAGCCCGAATGGGCTCTGAGTCAATAGCTCATAGTATATAAGTATATTGGATCAGCTTGATTACTCATTTTAGGTATTCTGGATTTACGGATTTAAGATTCAATATAAAAAGAAACCATGTTATTTTTTATTAATATTATAACCACGAAGAAAATTTATTCACAGAACAGTTTGATATATTTATCTTATTTGTACTTCGGTGTAAAGTCATTTTGAACATAACAATTTATTTGATTTGATTATCATATCATATAAAAGTACACAATATCCGGAAGATATCAATTTCATTTTGTTAGTTCTATACTGCTGTATTTCAGAGTGATGTTTACCTTAATCGTACTAATTTTCACTATTACTCTTGGATTTTGGCTATTCCAGAAAAAAAGAAATTCTAGTTTGAAAGCTTTTAAAATTGCACCAAAAAAACGTCTTGTCCTGGAAAACTGGCCAAAAATGAGCACCGTCAAAAGCTGAAGATACTAAGACCTAGATCCTTCATGAATGAATTGCTTTCTCATTGGCCTGCGTAGCAAGCGTTTCCGCACGAGTTTGTCAAGAAACTTGGTTGTTTTGCTCTCACTCCAGCCATCGGGCAATAATTTATTGGAAACGCTTGCTACGCAGGCCACTTTCTCTTATGCAGTGATATTAGCGTGAAATTTAGTAAGAATAAGGCTACAGAACGGGACTACCTTATTCTCCTTTATTTTCGCGGGACTTAAATTTCGCGAAAATTTTCTCGGCACATTTCGCGAGTCTTTAATTTCGCGATCGTGGAGAAAAATTGTGTTTGCAGGGAATTTAATTTCGCGAAATTGACGATTAAGTGACTTTATTTTTTCTTTTTTACAAAAATTTTACGTTAATCAACAACTGAAACAAAACCAATATGCTGTCCCTGTTGAGGTGATATGTGAAGTGGACGATACTCCAAGGAACAGGGTAATAATGGAAAGATACACGGCACTCGTAACTATACATTACTAGGAGCCGGGACAGGATGGTCAATTTGACGACTGTACAAAGAATGTATCGGAGGAACTGTGCGAAGATGATTACTCAGATGCCGAAGAAGAACTTGAGGCGAATCTTGACACTGATTGACATCTAAAGTTGATAGATGATAGCTCCTTGTACTAACACTTTGGGTTAAAAATTGTTTAGGACCCTTGAAAACACAAATACATGATTTTTCTATGTCCATTAAATTTCGCGAGATCAAAGTTCGCGGTCGTTATTTTTCGCGGATCTTAAAGTTCGCGAATTTAAGAACCCGCGAAAATTAAGGAGAATAAGGTAGTGATTGACTGGAATATCAGAACTGGAATTTTGATTTCCCTGATAAAGAAATTTTAAAAAGATTTCAAAATAGTGTACAGTCGTGTTTTTTGCACATGCAGCAGTGCGAGAAAAAAACGCCCCAAAATCAGAGGGGGTAAATAGAATTCGTGATAAGGTTGTTGCGTTACATGAATTATATATCATAACCGCCAGGGCCGGGTTGTTCGAAGCTGGGTAAAGATAACCCAGATTTAGTGCGAAATTTGAACTCAGGTATATGAGGGCTTAAAAAGCAAAATCAGTTTAATTCTCTTTGATTGGATATTCTAAAAAGTTGAAAAGAAAAAGAAACAAATTTAAACCCGGGTGAGCGCTAACCGGCGTTCGAACAACTGGACCCAGAATTCTATATAAGAGGCTACTTACGAGTTCCAAAAACCCTTACTTTCAAATGAAGTGCACAACCTTTCTTGTGAAAATGAGTTTTATTTGCACGAGAATGAGAAATTATTTTCATATGAAAGGCTGAGCACTTAACCTCGTTTTCATACAGAGGCCCGGGGGAACTCAGAAATGGCCTGTTACTTTAATACGTACATATGATGTAGAGAAAATTGATATGAAATATTTATTACAATAATTTTATTGGTGACTAGCCTATTGGTCCACAGGTGTAAAATGTAATTTGTCTTTTTCAGTTTTACATGTAACTCCTTCACTCTTTCACGAAGTTATGGCGAAATTTTGTCTGCCACTTTTAATTAAGATGTGAAAGGGTAATGTAACTAATACTTCAGTATTGAGAGTTAGATACCTTCTAGTGCCCCTTTTTTAACAAAAATAAATACCGGCTATAACTGGAAGTAGTATGTAGGCTCGTGTATGTTTAGCGGAACTAAAAGTTTACGCATGTGGAAAGGATTATTTAATCCAAAACCTGGAGGCGATGCGACAGTGTAATAATGCAAAGAGAGCATTATGTCAATAAATGCGATATCAAATTTTGCAATAAAATACAGCAAATTATATACAGTCTTATTGTTTCGGACTTTTTTGAGGGAAATGGGACTTCCTTTTCAAGACCTTGATAGCGTAACCTGCAATCAGGCGTTCACAAAATGGGAATAAGGATGGCCTGATCGGGCCTGATCGCAGGTTATCGATGGCGGCGAAACTCAGCCCTTAGCACGCCTTCGCATTTGGCCTCGCTTTGTAACAGTAGCTTTGAGTAACTTGGAAATGGTTTATTTGTCAAGGAGCCGGCATAATGGTTGCCTCCTCAAGGTATTTGTATTCAAAATGGCCACAAAAACAGTAGACAATGTGACATCTAGATTAACCCCACTCCCTCAACAGTCGCACTGGAGACGAGGCCAGGAGGCACCCTCGCCCACTCTCAAAGTCACCACCATCAGAATTTTAAACATTTTTTCGTTGCCTTGAGTCTGAATTCATTTTGTCCGCAGAGACCAAAACCCCCTAGCCAAGCTAAAAATAAAGCTCGATTTAAGCATCTCGACTTTAAAATCAGATCCCATTGGCTTCTATCCACCTGCCTCATCTAGGCGGGTGGACCTGCAAGTCTTAGCGGGCATTTTGTATGAAAACAAATAAACTTTTGATGCGGCTGTTAACGCGTGAAGGTTGCCTGAGCTAACGGCTTTAGCAGTTTAAACCTGATAAAGAAGCCATACCCTTGAGTTTGTGAGATTTGACAAAAACTCTGAGATCTAATATTTGAAACATTAGAGACAAAATGTAAGATTGGCAGGGCAATTATAAAACGGAGGACAAAGATCGATAATTATTAAAGACACAGGTTTTTTTGTTAGTTCAGAGTTTCATTTTGGTGTGTAGAGGCGTGTTATAAATTATTGAAGTTAAACTGAATTACCATAGCTACCCATTTTTGACAGTAAATTTTGAAATGGAGAGTGATAATTACACCAAGATTTCAACACCGCAATTCAAGGTTATCTCACTGACATCTCCGGTCATCATTTTCCAACTAACTTTTGCGAATGGCGTTGGGAGCTACTTGTTAACGGAGAAATCCACGGTAAAAGTGGGCTACCGCAATCTCAAGCTGATCTAAGGAGCCGGTCATGATAATATCGTAACGTGTTTCGCTATGTTTATTTCTCAACGAACAGTTGCGAAGTGTTTTGCTCTCTTGTGGGTCTGTGTAATAACTTTAATGACCCTCTTCAGTTCAAAGCTGTTATCTTTGTTTAAGTGTCGTAATGAAGAACGCCAGGATTTCGCGACTGCGGCGTCGACAAAAGTTTACGAGGAGCCGAGAAGAGACCACGTGGATCGTTATACGCCGTTTATTTTCGTAGGTGGTTTCCCCAGGAGTGGAACAACGTTGATGCGGGCCATGTTGGATGCACATCCGGATATCAGATGCGGACAAGAAACAAGGGTCATTCCAAAAATTCTGCTTAATATTCCCAGAATGTTGAATGTGTTCAGCGAAGCTGAAACTACCCGTCGAGAAGAAGCTGGCGTAACCCAAGACCTCTTAGATTCTGCAGTTGCGGCTCTCATAGCAGAGATTATAGCAAAGCACGGCGATCCAGCTCCAAGATTATGCAATAAAGACCCTCTAACCTTCAGGAATCTTAGTTATTTAGCCAGACTGTTTCCTAAAGCAAAGTTCATTTTCATGATTCGAGACGGTCGTGCAGTGCTCAACTCTATCATAGAAAGAAAAATTGGAATTAGAGGGTTGTACAGGCCTCGCAGTATTGAAAATTACGACCTTGAAGTTTTGCTAAGATCTTGGAATGTGGCAGTGAGAAATATGAATGCACAATGCGAAGTGCTGGGGAAAGATAGATGTCTGAGAATTCCTTATGAACATCTGGTATTGTTTCCATCGCAGAGTATGAAAATTGTCTTAGAATTTTTACATGTTATTTGGAACGATGTGGTTTTGCACCATCAAACTGAAATAGGAAAACCTGGCGGAGTTATTCTTTCACGGTAAGCTTCAGCTGTAATTATAATTCAATTCTTCCCCTTCCCCAAAAAAGTAATAAATAATAATAATAATAATGAGGGAGAACGTTTATGTGTTGGCATTATGATATTTGCAAATCTCGTTCATGTCTACGAGCATGAAACTTATAAATGATGTACAATAATGATGACGATGATTAGGATGATTTAAATCAATGATGATGATGATGATGATGATGATGATGATGATGATGAAACATTGGCATAAACGGCTCCCATCCAAATTCAAAGTAGACAGACTGCAAATTATAGTAGTTGCTAAAAAATATATCTAGATGTCCCAACTGTTCATCAGTAGGATGCCTAAAATGCGTGCAATTCAACAATTGGTTTTGGCTCCATTAAATCCTATATACCAGTTGCAGAACATTTTAGGAGGAGCCACCCACTGTGTGAGCACATTCGCGGACAACACATATAAATGAGGAAAATAACGCAAAGCAAAACCAAGACGTTAGTAAACGAACTAAATGTACACGCAACTTAAGTAAATAAATAATGCACGAGCCCAAAATAGATGGGATGGTAGATTTAGGCGGATGCCTATTTACTGCTTCAAAAAGTAGACACGTTCTTGTCTTTACACTACTTTAATGCTGACATCAATGTATTTCTTTTCTTGCTACAGCCTTGAGAAGTCAACCGATCAAGTCAAAGAACCTATAAATGTTAACGCTCTGTACAAGTGGTGCCACAAGTTACCGCCTGCCTTGCTGGAGCATACGGACAGAATTGCCCCTATCATGAAACAGCTGGGCTATGATACTTGGAAAAAAAGGCCTGATTATAGCAAAATGATGTCTATTGTAACGAAATAATAAACTGAATATAAAATCTTAAATCAGCTGACAAAAAACACTGTCTTTCCAACCCCCAGTCTCTGGACATTTACCCGTTCGACATCAGAGATTTTAATAGTTGTATTACTCGAAGAAATATGTTAAGAAACCATCTACAATAAGGGAGCAAACTTGGATAGTCATTTGTAGTAGGATGCCTGACACTAAATAATTGTAACATGTCATAAATTACTCAGTATTTCATAAATAATTATATCACGGTCGCACACTGGTGTAATATCTACGTGTGATAGCCTACATGGCAGGCGAAAAGAGAAACATCCTCGGAGACCCTTCTTCGCGCCATTTTCCCCGCCCGTTTAGAATTTTCCTCGTCCCACTATCTGCCCCTGGGTCTCCGAGGATGAAAAAGAGATGGGGTGGGTGGAGAAAAGCAATAAAGGGGAAAGGAACTTGGGTGAGTGCGCTGCGTGACAAGAACGTAGACTAGAGGAAATCCCATCCCAACTGGCCCCTACCTTCCCCTCCATTTTGTAAGAATTTCCTACATCCTACTGACCAGGACGCCCGCCTGGACCACACCACCCATCAGCTTTCGACACCTCCAGCAGTGTGTTAGGCAGAAAGTTTGGCGGAGCAGTAGCCTGCGAAAACATCTGTTTCTTCTCGCTCTTCGCCATTGGGGACGTTTCGCGCGTTTCGCGAAACGTCCCCGGCGGCGAAGAACGAGGAAAAACGGATGTTTTCGCAGGCTAGCGGAGCAGGTGAGGTGCGTACTACCTTTGCCTAGCCCAGCCCTTCACGGAAATATAACACAGGAGCGGTTACAATGTTGTAGAAGGCGTGAGATCTGATTCAAACAGCATGGACGACCAGGGCAAAAAGAGGTTCTTTGAAGGCCTTAAGCCCAAAAAGCCCTCTGAATTCTTGGCATTTGTGTTTATGATCGCAATGTTATGGGCAATAGCGCTGTTTGAGCTGTTTATTGTGCTACCCATCTACCACGATCCATTCTCAACATGGTATTGTATACATGTGGTCTGTGGATTCTTTTTGTGGCTGAACGTGTTCGCCAACTTTTTCATGCTCATAACCACCGATACAACAGGAAAGAAGCTAGGAATGCCTTCGGTTCTCAAGCCAGGGTGGACATATTGTCCTTTCTGCCAGCTAAACGCTCCACCGAGAGCCCATCATTGTCAGATCTGCGATGAGTGCGTCTTGAAGAGAGACCATCATTGCGTTTTCGCCGGCAGATGCGTCGGTTTTAGAAACTATCGTTATTACATGTTTCTAGCACTGTATCTTTGGATGGGAGCTGTTTATGCTAATGTTTTCCACCATGATTATGTCACAGATGAAATCGGCGGCGTTGGCTTTTGGACTTTACTAACAATGGTCACCCCTGTTGTTATCTGGTTGTTGGGCTACACCTCCGTTTACGGAATTTTCGTTTCCTTTATGGCTGGCATTTCAGTCTTTGCGCTGCTACTTTTTAGTGCCATGCTCTTCTTCCAAACTGGTATCATTTTTAAAGGTCAAACATCATACGAGCGTAAAAAGAAGAAGAGAGAGTACGATCGCGGATGGAGAAGGAACTTCATTGAAGTGTTTGGCGAAAGGTGGTATTTAGCTTGGATCTGGCCCACAGTTAGCTCACCTTTGCCAGGAGATGGGACAAACTTTAAGAAGACATATCCGGAAGAAAGCAAAGATATGTGAAAATGATATGCAATGTGTGGTGCTGTAGTGCTGAGAAATTGCGGAACAAGCTATAGGCTCCATGCTAAATAGTTTCCTCTCTGTACACATCTCACACATAATGCACGTATCAATGTTTAGACGGAGAGGGAGGTATGGGTATAGGTGGGACACAACACTTTCTTTGTTCCCTCTCTGGGGTCTTTTACCATAAATTTTGCCCCAAACTGCGATTTTGTTAAGCTTAGAGAGGGATATTTTATCACATTTTATACTGTTCTCCCATCCACAGGATCAGGAATTTGACCAAAAAGGTGCAGGAAAATTCATATGCCGCACCAATAAATGCCTGTCTGTCCTCTCTGTCCAAACACTGATAACTGCATTGAATTTTTTTATTTCATTGTCACCAATGAAGTTCACCTTTTTCTTTGCTGTTGTGAACCAGCTATGACACAAGAAAAATGATCCTGCTATCATTGCATTTCATTCTAAGCATTCTGCCACCTGGTACAGAATGTTTGGAATATATGCCACTCACAGTATTCTGGAATTGGCATAGCAAGTCAATTGAAGCAATGTTGTGGATTCCAGAATAAGGTGAATCAAATGCACTCTGAAGGGCCAGGGTGTGATGGTTAAAAGAGCTGGTTCACGGTTGTCTAGTTCATTTTGTTAACATTGCCAATAGAGTCCTAAAGTGTGACGCCATAAAAAATTATGTTTGTGAAATTATGGGATTTTCCTGGATATTATGAAAGATCAACATCCAAAAGGCCCACTTACAAAAATCAGTATTCCAGGGCAAATTGTGTTTGAGATGTTAGCCCAGTTATGCTCTGATGACTCCATATGTTAGGAACCGTGTCAAATTTACAAGGATTTGTATGGGGTCTAAAAGCAATACGGGATAAGTATCTCCGAGACAGTTTGCCTCACAAATGCTAGTTTTTGGCAAGTAGGCCTATCAGATGTTGTTGTTGCAAAATATCCCAACAAATTCCATAAATTATTTGAAAATTTAATTTTTATGATGTCACTTAAGAACTCTATTACACTTTCTTATGCACTATGGAAATTAACACAAGAGAAGAAATTACTTTAAATGACTAAATTATAGCTTCTTGTCCAACATTCATACCTCAGGCTCAAGCATTATATCAGAGGTTACAAACAACAAAAATGGACTCTGAAAAACTGTAAGGCTTCATTGATCCATGCCTCGTTTTGTATTTGCTGTGTCATTTATAACTTATTTTAAAGGAGCTGTGTCACGAAATTCACGGCCAAATTAAGTAATTACAAAATGCCCGTTAAATTAGGAGAAACGTAAAAATAACAGCTTAAAACATTAAAGGATTAAGGTTAATTAAAATAACATACAAAGATAATACGGATGGGCAAATAAAATAAGATTGAAACGGATTGAAATTAGGGTTTTTGAAAACTGTTCAGCCTAACAGTTTATCAAAGGTGATCCCTGCTGCTTGCAACTTCAAAAATAATGCTCAGGAGACATATTTGTTTGTCTCGAATCTCTGCTTGTGTCATTTACAAGTAATTTCTTTGCTTACTTTAAGTTCCATTGTGATTGAGGGCGAGTAACTGGCAAAATTAAACAAAATGAACTGGACTGCCGTGACACAGCCCCTTTAATGTTTTGACAGGTTATTTTTGTTTCACCCAATTTAGTGGCAGTCCCCATTGCTAGAATTTTGATAAATAATTTCATTCCCATACGTATGTTCTTACTTTTAAAATAAGCAGACAGCCACACAATTTGTATGGCTCCTCTGTAGTTTTTTATTTAAACAGGTAACTAACATAAAATATGTAAAAAAGTTGTACCTGACTGTGACTCTTGCACAACAATTTTGTATTGTTAGAAAAATGTAGGTAAATGAATTGAACATTTTTGCATTGGTAATGTTTTAGAATTCTCACTTAAATTATTGTTAGGTAGTTAAAACATTTATTCCTAGAATCAGTTATCCTTTTAAGTCCCAATGGTGACCAACATCAATTTTCGCCTACTGATATCTGTACATTGTCAAAAGACTAGGTAATGAGAATTAAGAAAATGGTCACCAAAGAGAAAATGCCTTGATCTTTTACCAAATTCTCTCAACACGTTCTTTAATAAAATGTATAGAGATCAGTTTGGAGAATTTGTGTGTGTATATTTGGGCTTAAAGGGTTATGGAGGGATGAAGTGAGTTCAAACTTTGGAATCTTTGATGAAATTCCTTTGGTTTGACCATTCAAATAAAATCTCATTGACATTACTTTGACTTGATGCCATTCACCCTGTACATAGTTTGTGGAATTAAAAAACAGCTATGGTCTGACTTATCAAATAAGGCCTCTTCCAAAGAGTTTCATGTAGCCTCGTACAAGGATGTTCTTAGGGCTTTGTCATGCGTTCCTGCCTCACAAATTCGTGGGTAGGAATGCGTGATGAACTTCTAAGAATGCCTGCACAGGAGCTAGTTTTCAATTTATTGGTGGCATTTATTTTTCAGTATTTAGGCGTGAAAAGGTCAAGATAAGATGTGTCTCTCTTAGTTAAACATTTTTGGACTACAGGATAATGTACTGCACTAACTAATACAATGTATTGCTGTAAATGTTATGAGCCTAGGATTCTGCACGTAACAAGGACAGGTGGAATCTTGCACTCAAGCTGAAAGTCTTAAGATTACAGTAAAAACCTTCAACTAAGAACCTGAATTTTTTTAAGTTAGCCTAAACAGGTGCTTATATTGATGTCTATTGGTACAGATTTAGGCCATCTAGACGTATCTAGGGTCTTTGACAAGTTCCTATTTTCCCCAGGAAAGATAATACATTTCAGTAAAATCCAACTAGTGGTCCATTATCAATGCTGCATTCTGATTGGTTGAGCTACTACTAGGCTATATGTTATAGGGCACTAGCGTTGAGTAGCTAAATTTTTTTATTCTCAATATTTGTGACCGTGCACGGGAAAACGTACCTTAACGCTTATCCGTTAGACAAGCAAAAACGTTAAGCATCCGTTAGTCATCCGTTAGAAAGTTTTCTTAAGAACGTTAGAGGCGTTAGCCCAGCCGTTAGACCTTAGCATGAGGCCGTTAGAACGGACAGTGTAACCGTTAGCAAGAGACATGTATCCGTTAGCCGTTAGCATCAGACCGTTAGACGGGTCAGCATAACCGTTAGCAAAAACTCTGCATCCGTTAGTACGGCTAGAGAAGCCGTTAGGATCCGTTAGAATAAACTAGCATCCGTTCAACGGCCTTCATACTATAATTATTATACACGATCCAAAACAAACC